ATAAGAGAATATTTCCTTAAAAAAATTACGACCATATGGAAAATGTTTAATGTGGGTAGCATGACAATGATGATTGACTGTTCAAAAGTGTGTTATTACTGTCGACATTTTTAAGTGAATTTGCATTGTTTATTCATTGCATTATTAAAACTTTTACAAAATTAATTAATACAAATTCTGATAGATGTATGTGTTTATATACACTCACTGCCAAAAGTTAAGCACGGAGCAGAAAATGTTCATGTCTGAAAAGCAATTTGCATTTGACAGGCTGCAATTCACTGCAGAAGTAGGTGGAAGCATGCAAATATGTTACGTTACTATCAATCAAGGTTACGTGTCACGAAATATGCAAAACAGACAATCATATAAGAAGCCAGCCTTCTGAAGTGTGAGAGGAGTTGCATGTAAGTGCCGAGAAAAAGTGTGGAGAACTGTTGTACAATTACTGTGCATGACTGACGTGTTTCTATGACTTCCAGAAGACGAATAACAGACAGTGAGCGCTGGCGGTGTGTGGGATGTCTTGAAACAGGACAATCAATCACAGATGTTGCTCTTTTCTTCAGCGTTCATCATTCCGTCATTTCACGGTTATGAAAACAATTCCAAACAAGCCAAACAGTTGTCCGAAGACCTGTGGCCGGTCACCCAAGAGTTACGACCCCTGCAGAAGATCGCTATATTGCTCTTGTAGCCAAGCGGAATCGAAGAGCAACCTCTACACGTGTGACATCGATGGTTGCAGCAGCCATTGGTAAAACGATATCTGCTACTACTGTGCGCCAAAGGCTACACATGAACGGACTGTACGCCCAGGTACCACGAGTTTGTGTTCCACTATCCGTCCAATCCAGAGGCACACGATTAAAGTGGTGTCGGCAACATGTGAATTGGACTGTGTCTGATTGGGACAACGTTATGTTCACGGATGAGTTGCGATTTCCCCTGGAGCCAGATGACAAACGTGTAAGAGCGTGGAGAAAAAAAGGCACACGCAATCGACCCCAGAACATCATCGAGCATCACGCATTCCGAGGTAGAAGCATTATTGTGTGGGCAGGCATTTCATTGGGATATCGCACCGACCTGCACATGTATCGAGGGGGTTCTGTGATGGCTGTCCGGTATTGGGATGAAGTCCTCGAACCCACTGTGAAATTGTATGCTGCAGCAGTTGGTCCTGCTTTTGTTTTAATGGATGATAACGCACGACCCCATAGAGCTGCCTTCGTCGACGACTACCTCGAGAGTGAAGGAATAGCGCGTATGGATTGGCCGGCGTATTCGCCAGACCTCAATACCATTGAGAATCTTTGGGGTACCCTCGGCCGTGCTGTGTGTGCATGTTTCCCACCCCCTGCCACTCTCACATAGTTGCAAACTGCTCTACAGGAGGAATGGCACTTATTTGACTCTGGAGTAATTGATCACCTCATGGTAGGCATGGTTACACGCTGTAAACTTTGTGTAAGGATAAGGGGTGACCATTTACCCTACTAATGTCGGTTTTGTTTGTTTGTTTTGGATTTAAACATCGTTTTGTTAATGATTCCAATATGATTTCATCTTATACTTTATGAAAATTCAATACTGTTTTCATTTTTCTATGTAACTCTCTGTGTTGTTTCATGCATAAACATATTTGCTACTGTCCTGCTGCATTTTGTGTCAATCACAGCTGTATTTGTCAATTTTTTCGCTGTTTATTTCTCCGTGCTTAACTTTTGGCAGTGAGTGTAAATATAATAATCAGCCATTTCAGTATTTTAAAGAAATCTTACCTTAAACTCTCTAAAATAATTTTTAAAAATGGAACTCAATTTACATAATTTACAATTAGAAATTTTCTATAAAATATGATGCTTAAAGATTTCCCAATAAGTCAAATGATTTTGGAAAAATCCAATTATCTATCTTACTTACATAAAGATTCAACATTATATAATTAAATATTAGGTTACTTACAAGTTTTAAACAATATATTACAACAATTATTAAAAATTATTTAAAAAAATAATATCTCATATTAGAACATTCAGCATGATTTTGTAAATTAAGAAAACTATTCAAAAACCAAAAAGTTTAACTGCTTGGAATTTTCAGCTAATAGATAAAGTTGCTATTAAAATTTACGAAATTAATTTAAATACAACAATTTACATTTTATACAATATTGAAGTAAATATTGATCATAAACCAAATGTATTTTCTCCACTATAAATAACACATAAAAATCCATCTTCATCTTTATATGCATTGTATATTTCACCCATGCTGAAACTTGATTGAGGAAGAACTCTTTCAACAAATAAAAATATTTCTTTTTCTTTAGATAACTGAATTCTTTTCCATATAATCTATATAAATTGAGCCATGGAAATTTCATTTGGAACAATAAACTTTTGCTTATCTATTGTAGGAATAAAAGAATAAGGTGCTTTTTCTACAATTACAGGAATTCTATCTGGATATCTGTTTCTTACATTTGATGATTCTTGCTTTCTTTGGTCATACGAATACATTTGTTTAAATTTCAGTCTCGTTTTCATCATTAGGGCACTTTTTTCCCTCAAAACAAAATACCTTCCCCCTTCTTACTCAAAACAAAAAGAAGTGCAGAATTAGTGTTGCCAGACCAATGTCATTTGGTCTAATCTAGTTAATAAATCGCAGAATTGAAAACCAATACATTAATATTAGTAATCAAGACACGGTATCTCTCTTGTGGAAGTGATACAATATTTTCATTAGCGTGTCTGCATTGTTTACTCTAAGCATTTCTTCCAGCAGAACCACTGATATGACTGTATTTATGCACTTAACATTACAAAACGTATAAATGAATCGAAACACTTCATGTTAACTAAATAAATTGTGCTAAAATTAAGTCTACCAAGGTACCATTTTCTATGTAGCACCCCCCATTTTCGAGGGTACTGACCAGGATGCAAAGTCGTAAAAATCTAACCCTGTTAAATAACACTTTTTAAAATTTATCAACTTGACAAGCAACCTCTTTTCTATTGTCTGTTTTACATATTTGTAGTGTTTTGTTGACTTAAAAAATGTTATTTGATGCTTTTTTTCACTTTATTTTTTCCTGATAATGTTTTGTTTCATTTTAAGCATATTCATGCAATAATATTACTATACTCAGTTCATTAATGCTATAATAAGTCAACAAGTTATATATATTGAAGATGTGACTTTCAGTTTTGACATTTTATGTAACTTTCATTTTTATCTAAAATATCAGAAAATATTACATGTATTACTACTAGTGATTATATGTTTATTACGAAAATTCATATTTTTTCGATATCAAGTGAATAAAGTATATCAGTTGATTACATTAGTTGATAGCAAAATATAAGTTTTGGTTCCAAACAAATGTTTGATATAATAGGTGATAATTTTGAAACAAAATGTACATGCATAAATGTTATGTAGAATCATACGAAACAATATTCGTTGTTAACCTGGCTTAGTGCCAGAAATAAACAAAGTAACTAGAAAATGTTAATTTTAACAAAATGTTACAAATTTTTACATTTAGATGTCAGTTGTGATATTTTTCATCTTTTAAATTTTCTAATAAAGTGTATTGAAAAATATCGTATTCAAAATTAAAGTTATTAATAAATGTATGTGATTTTTTCATATTAATATATGATAATTTGATTTTTGGTGATTTTTAAAATAATATCACCTGACTGACCTATATTCTCCTTAGTCATTTTACAAAATAAACGTAAACAAAAGGGCATGGTAAAAAGTCACGAAAAGGTTAATGCAGGCCATAAACCTTTTCCTGACATTTTACCACGCCCTCTTGTTTACATTTATTTTATAACTAGCTGTTACTCGCGGCTTTGCCAACGCGGATTTTCCAAGCAAACCCCATTTATATTCAGTATTTCAACAACCATAGTAATTGTTATATAACACAACCGCTGACAATGATGAGAATTGCCGAGAATCAAACGAACTATTTTCAATTTGATCAATTTTCTGGAACGTTTACAATCGTTCTATAATCGAACCAATATGCAATAACAGATTCGAATTTAAAACGGTTCGAACATTTTTAAGATCGAAATAGATAAAAATATTTATAACAATGTCTGAAATGTTATTTATTTAATACACCTAAGTACTCGATGAAGACTAAATCTTCTCCCTATCTCGCCCGCGGGGGAATTTCGAAAAATCCCTTCTTAGTGTGCATTTTCATGGCATACCTTACTAAAACGCAGATAAAAACAAAAAATCGCATCTAAAATAGTACAGTAGAAGTAGAAGCCGTTCTTCCGTTTAAGACTTAATGCTCTCCCTCTCCCCCCTTCGGAGGAATTTCGAAAAATCCCTTCTTAGTGTGTGTTTCCGTTACGTACCCTAACTGTCTACCAAATTTCATTACTCTAGGTTAAGCGGTCTGCTCTGGGCGATGATGAATCAGTGAGTGAGTGAGTGAGTGAGTCATTCAGTCAGTCAGGACAAGCAATTTTATATATTTAGATGACCAGCAGACGGCTCAGGCAGCCGTCTGCTGGTCATTATAGAACGAAACTCGGTACTACAATATCAAATGAGTACACAAACTTCATTTGCAGCGTTCTGTCACCTGCAGTGGTCCTGAAATTTTCATGTGGCTATGCGTATTCATGTGACTATTACGATTTAACTTTTGATAAGTGTAAAAATGTATTTTTTTTCAATCGTTACTTTTTATACTTTAGCATCACTATCTTTACTTCCTTTTTCGCCTTTCATAAATATCTAATTTTTCCCTTACTCAGTGCACACACTTATATGAAATAACGCTATATTATTATATGAAAAATATAAATACAGTATAATTGTACATTCATAATATATTATATTTAATACTTACCTTCCTATATATAACACTGCAGAAAGCTATTTTTAATTTCATTCCATATAAATCTGCCATATAGAAACTTGTGTTATATATCAACACATAAACCGTAGTTATGCCAAAAAATCCTGCAAGTTTTACATAAACTTTGTATAAATTAAATTCCTGCCTGTTGTCCAAATAACTTATTGTTTGTCCTAAAAAGTATACTTGGCCGGCAACTAACGCTGTTTCCTAAAAATAAATATAAACATCATTCATTTGAATTGTACTAACACGTGCAATTTGTATTTCGAATCAGTTATCATAGTACCTGAAAGAGTACAAGTAAAAATATTATCAAGTATTTCCATCCAAGAAATCTTAATACAGCTTTTAGTATGCTTGGATTTTTCTTCTGAAGTTCCTTGTTCCATTCTCTGAAAAATGCAACGAAAATAAACAATTGAAGACACTATCTTAATACTCTTCAAGTTATGTAAATTTACAGTATACAGGCATACCTCGACTTACGTCGTTTCGAGTTACGTCGTTCCCGATTATACGTCGTTTGTTAAAAAAGTATATGGAAAAATAAAAATCAAAAATAAAATCGAATAAAGTCATTTTATTCGACTTTACGTCTGTCCGCCACAAATATTGAAGTCGTAATATCACTAGAAAAACGTTTAAAGCACATAAAATCATATTAAAATATATACAAGTATGTACTGTATTTACAGTACACGCATTCGTAAATTTAGATTACTTTTTTGTACTATATTAAAAACTAAAATTTATTTGTTTGTAAGCTTAAAATAAATTTTTATTTATCATATATTATAAAAAATGCATTAATAAATAAAATACAGAACTGGGAATGGTAATTTACGGTTTAGCTTAGTGATAAGTAGATTCGGAGACAAGTAAATTCGACTTACGTCGTTTTCCTGGAACCAATTACCGACATAAGGCGAGGTATACCTGTATATCGTTCTTTTTTATACCCGCAATTTATTGTAAAAATACAATGAAAATTTATTAATTTATCACTTGATAAGTCTGGAATATCAAGTATTGTTTGATCATGCTCTTAGTTTGCAATGCCGAATGATTATTATATACATGGTGCGAAATCCTCTAAGCTGCAATCAAGGCAAAACTAAGATGCAGCTGTGCACAAAATCACACGTGACAAGATGCATGGTATCTTAACACAATGACATTCCTGTACTGTATCATTTTCAGAGTAACCAAATAACAATCGTAATCAAAATCAAAAGTATACAGCAGCATGAGTATTAAGGAATTCAAGAAATGTCTGCATCGATAAGATGTTTAATAACTTGTTTAATTTCTAATTCATACTATAGAAACCAAGATTTCTGCTTTTCAATAATTTGCTACCAGTTTATTTGTGTACAGGAACAGATTAATAAAAATTTACTGTATTTTAAAATTTTGAAAATTGTAAGAAATGAACTTACTTCTGAAGTTGGTCCCCAAGATATTCCGAAGTATGATATTTTGAAGTTTCATATAAATCTTCTTCTTTTAAAGCTCGCTTTCTTCCCTTGTTTATTATTGAAAAAATCCAACTGTAAAATAAATTGTTTAATGATTATTGTTGTTTACGATAATATCCTTGTACTGATAGTTTTGAAATTGCCATTGTAAACTCACAAAACAGACAATAAACAATATGTGTGATATGCCGACCAATTATTACTTATTCGGCAACAGGTTGGTGAGATCCGATCTTGTTTTCTGTTAGATGGCTCTATAATAAATTGTCGGCGGGATTGTAAGATCTAGCCAATGTCAGGATGCTGACACGAGTTAGGATAGAGTTAAACGAGTCCTAACCCTTAGAATTGTAAGTAAAATTAAAACTAAAATTATTGAGTGGAGAGTGAGTGCGGGTAACTCGAGAGGGTGTTCGTTTTCCGAGTGAAAGACAGAGAAACAGGTTTAACAGAAGTAGGTTATAAGTGGAATAGATATACACTGCGCCGTTAGGCATAGCCTTAGTGAAAAAAGAAATGAGAAGGAGAAATGTGGGGTGAGGATAGAGATAAGAGTAGTAAGAGGGAGGAAAATGTGGGTGGATAGTGGGAAAGAAAGTAGTTGAGAGTGGGTCTTCGTAAGCGTTATGATAGAACGAAAATACGGTAAAAATAATATAATATTCACAGAAATTCCCGTGCGGGAGAAATAGCAGTATGATAAACCACGAGGCACGGTCAAAGTAAAAATTGGATAGGCATCACTATTGTGATGATACAGAGGATACCGTTACAGCACCCAGGAAATGCAGAACCGGAAGGAAGAACTCAGATTGTGTTCTTCTGCTTAGTCTGATGATACTCCAACCCACAACTCCTGCTTACCGTGCAGATGCGTTAGCTTCTATACGTTGGAAGAGGAGATCGGACTGGAGGTCCAGATTGCGTAACTAACAACGCATCTGCATCGTATTGCTATCGTATATTGTATATACGATAATTAGTGGTGGAGTAGAAGCACGGTATTGTCAGCATCCAAAACGCCAGATTTGTGCACGCGCTTTAAGGAGCACCAATCTCACCCAGTTTATCTTGTGAAAGCTTAGGACCTCGGGTGGATGCTACACGTATAACGCATCCAATTCTATTAAGGACCGGTTCTGGGCGGCCTGCTAGATATTTGAACGTCCTCGCCCGAATACGCGAATCCCGAGTACATCTATAACTGAACCCAAACGATAAGAATTTTCTGGTATGTTTTTATGATAGTTCTGTATAGTTGACAGGAGTTTAAAAAATCCATTAAAATATTTTATATTTATATTCCGATCTCCGATTTTATATTATTCACGAATTTCAATTATTAAACCAGTGATATTACGATTTAGTATGTCCCATCTATAAAGGGATGCAGAAATAAACGTGTACAATTCTTCGACAATGTTAAAAAATTAACTGTTGCTTTGACAGCATCATTTACAACTAAATTTAATGAATGAGATACGTGCACGAGGTACAGTATAAGCTCTAGACTTTATTTTCCTTAAATTTACGATTTATGTGTCCGTTGTCATAAAAATTTGTCTTTCCACTTCTTTCCCAAGACTGCAAATATTCAAGTACAAAGTAACTAGTTTTCACTTATTTCTACTTAAGATGTAGTTAAATAATTAAGCGATTAAGGAAATAGGGGACATAAATAAAATCCTGATGAAAAAGCCGGAATTTTACTTAAACAAAAGCTTAACCGAACCAATCTCTAGCCGAGTACAATGCAGATTGATCTCTTCGTAATATTAGACGTAATAAAAACAGAAATTTTTCACGTTAAATGAGAGTGACCGAAAAGATGTAAATTTTGGAAATTTCCATGGACAGCCGGTCCTAAAACGAATTAGTTAAAAAACAAATGACCATTGAGTTTCACCAATTTAGACTTTTTCAGCTATGGTGAAAAACGTTTAAAATTTACAACCCTGTCACGTACTTTGAAATATACTAGTGATGCGAAAAAAGAGGATTTTGAAATTAACCGGTATCGACATCTTCGGAATTTGGCACGCATACACGCACTGCACACCTACAAAGATCGTCTCTGATTCCATCCTGGTAGGGAGCAATTTTTACTAAGTGAATTGTTTTAATATTTAAAAGTAAAGACTATTTTATGTTATTTTTATGTACGTTTTTTCACAAAACTATATTTAATTATAATTTTCTTTAAAAGTATATTAATACAATTGAATATTTTGTACCAGGTATGCATAATTGTATATCCACCACACACTTTATTTCAACAAGTAAGTTTTTATAATGTTATTTTTAATTTTAGCCCTTATATCGTGGCTAGCGATTCAAAATGTAATTGCGATATTGAAATTTTTTTAAAAAAAGGTTTAGACTCAAAATCACATAATGAAAAAGAAAACATTATTAAAAGAGAAAGACCAATGCTTAAGTTAAATATAAACACTTCAATAAAAAAAATTGTTCGACATTTTCACGATAAACTTTATGAAGACATATAATGTTTTTGTGGATGCATAAAAATGCAAAAATTGTTTTGTTGGCCTTGCCAACAAATTTTATTTGAGAATAGTACGCAGCTACTATTCTCAAATAAAATTAGTGTTCGGAATAAGAATGGCTTTGACGATTTAAATAATTTGAGTAAAACTCGTAAAAGAAACGAAAAGCGTAAATCTCGAATAGATTCTTTCGTAAAATTGAAGCATTTTAGAAATTAAAATAGAATATAATTTAACATTAGTAAACAATATAAAATAAATATTAAAAATTATAACAAAGTTACGGCTAATAGATATATTATATCTAAATTAGTAGATGTTATCAAAGCAAGATATGGCATTTAGATGGCATAGGGAATGTATTGAATCTAATATAACAGAGGTAATTATATTAAACTTACTTATTTATTAAGTGTGTTAGATAATCTATTCATTAAAAATACAATCAGAAGTCGACGGTTTCCACTGGTTTATCGAACAAACGAATACAAATGCACCTTAGACGAAGGCTGCCCAAACCCAGGCACCCGGGCCACAAAGTTGCCCGCTAACGCATTTGAATTCGCCCGCACACAGTAACGGTCGGCTGTCACCATGCGCAATGTTGTGCTACCAATAATGCCAACTGCCACGTGATGGTCGAACGCAGAATGAACTATGACTTGAGTCATTGCCACACCCCTGTTAATACTTAACCTACACGTTTATTACACTTGTTCTATTAGTTTTAAGACGACTTTTGTGTATTAAAATTAAATTGTTGGGTGCTTCTTCATATTGTTGCTTAAATAGTTACGTATACATAAATTTTTCTTCAAATAAAAAGTGTTAAGTAATAATATTTATGCTATTTAATAAAATTTTGGAAATTAGTACCAAGAAAAGTCTTCCCTGCAATGTGTGATCTTGTTTTGCAGGATTTCAGCAGATTTGGCTCAACATATATTTGTGAAAAGGTTTTCTTTTTACTCTACACTATATACAAAATAAATACCGCTGTTTTTTAACTGCATCTCATATTTCAAATTTGATATTATTATTGACATCAGATTTGTCACCAAATTTTGAAAAATTATTAGCTAATAAGGTAATAAATTTTCAACATTTAATAATAAGCTAATAAAAAACACATCAATGAGACCTGTAAAGTGTCTCAGTGATGTGTTTTTTATTAGGTTTTATTAAAATATGTGCAACTTAAAGCTTTGTTTGATTCAAATACCTAGCCATTTATAGAAGAATCATGAGTGTAAGCAGGTATGATTTAGTACGTTGCCTGCCGGCTGACATGTAATTGAAATTATAGCCTGCCTCCAAAATGAATTGCGCAGCTCTGCCTTAGACTATAACTGACTGATTGCCCCTGGAAGTCGGCTTCTTACAGAAACCCAGTTTCCTTATCATCAAATGTCATGGCATGCCACTGGTCTCCACTCATATAGAGAAACTCTCCTATTTGATTGATTCTATATAAATATTATCATCTATTATAGTTCCGCGTGTTAATCCGCAATAAATTGATTAACTGATGTTGGGATCCTGGCTAGTAGACTAAAAATTTGTTATCGTCTAGTCTCTGCATCTATTTAACACTGGTAGAAAAACCATCTTTTGATGAGAGGGCTAGTCCAACAGACTTGGAGCCGACTAAGTGATAGAAAGTAATTTCAAGACCCTCTACCTCCAGCCAGAACCTCACACCCTATGTTGCTAAGGAAGAACTTGCACAACTCTTAATTTCAAGTCGATGGGAGGAAGCCAGTAATAGCGAGTAGAGCGCTGCTGGGGGCAGTTCTATAACTCTTGGCTATAGAGATAATGGCTATGCGCTGAATGGACCTAAGCTTTCTTCGGATGTGAATCCTATTAACTGCACTACCCCAGATCTCGCTCCTATAGGTAATGGCCGGCACAATAGCCCTCTGGTAGATGGTCTTTGTGTGAGAGCCCACCAGTGGCCAAACGGTCTTCGTACCCTGAACACTGGGAATTCCATTGTGGGTTTACATCTTGCTTGGACAAACTGGCCACGTTAAGTTTTTTGGGTTTCTCCACATCTGCAACGCCTAAATAGGGACCAGTTTCCCTTAAAAAGACCTCTCAGAAGGCAATATCCCTAGGCAGATCGCCCAGGTGTTGGTTGCCATAACTTAACAAAGAACAAATGATCTTTGTAGCTTTAGCATCTAAGCCCCATGTATTTCAGGATATAGACATTAGAGAATGGCAGATTTTAACTACCTTGTCATGTATTATTTGAACATGATCCTTCCATGATAACCTTTGGTTCAGGGTAAGGCCAAGATACTTGATAGTGTCATTGATTTTGATTGTAGTCCCTTCAATGTAAACGGAGGCATTTCCTAGTCAGGGGGTTAGCCTTAGGGAGGAGCACACCCTTACATTTATTGGTATTTATAACTAGCTTGTTCTCTTTTGTCCATTCAGAAAGAGATTCGAGAATTTTATTCCTATTATCCTGCAGCACTTTCTGGTTTTCATGGGAATGAGGAAGACTGTATTGTCATCATAAGCCTGAATCGTTGGGTTGAGTTTGTGTGGAATGGGATTTTGCTGGTAAGACCAAAGATACTATTGTGCAAGATATTCTAGAAAAAGCGGCCAGCTTTGGACTCCTGTGGGCACCCCCTGTTAATATTTTGCTCATAGGCCAATTATGAATACTCTAATGTAAGAATCAAAACACATAAGCCTGGTAATACTTGCAGACCTCTTGTGGATTTTAGAAGAACTATTTTATATAATTTGGAATGTTTTTTAAAAAATTTTTTCCANAAGAATGAAATTCCAGCATATCAGGTCAAGAACATTTTGGACTTTAATAATGTAAGAGAACCTAAGTTAAATGTAAGAATCAAAACACATAAGCCAGGTAATACTTGCAGACCTCTTGTGGATTTTAGAAGAACTATTTTATATAATTTGGAATGTTTTTTAAAAAAATTTTTCCAGGATATGGATAAATCAACTTATAGTATACACAATACAGAAGAACTGATTAATGGATTGCTAAAAGGTAATTATAAAAAGTCTTTTCGTATTATGAGTCTTGATATAAAGTCTATGTATCCATCGATCACCCTAGAAATGATAATAGAAAGTCTTAAAACATATAACGTTCCTGAATATATCATAGAACTTGTAAAATTTGTATTTAATAATAATTACTTTAAAATTTCTACAGAATATTATAGGCAGAAGAAAGGTATTGCCATGGGATCGGTCATGTACTTATGTTCAAGTCTCTCTACACACACAGAGTAAAGATGAATGTTGAAAATTTATGCTCTTTCCTTTTGACTATCCACAGAATTCCTTCTTATCTTTTCCATATTTATATTGTATGTATGTTTTACTGTTAGTTTCAGATAAAATTTATTTAATCTGTTGTCAGAGAAGTTTTTTACTAAAATTATTAACTAATGGGGAAAATGTTCATAATACTCATTAATTAACAAAAGTAACATTATTTTATAGCACAATACTGAAAATTTGTTCTACAAAAAAAAAAATTAAAACTAATGAAGGACTGTAAAAAAATTTGTATTCACATATGTAACTAAAAATTGGTAGTGTAATCTCTGCTAGACAACATCTTTATGAGCATCTTGGATCATTAGTCCTCCAACACAGTTATCAGCCTTGAACCACAAGAAACTTATCCACATTCTTGAACAAAATCAATCACATGAAAAGACTGGAATGCATCAGGAAAGCTGCAAGATTATCAGAAACAACAAATATCTATTGATATTTAGTACATGTACTGTACATACACAGGCACACTTCCATATTTATTATACAAGGAACTATACAGCATGTGACATTTTGAAGAATGATAAGGACCAGATCAACCGTATGAGCAAACCAGGCATATATCACATACCAATCAACAACAACTTGAACTGTCAACAGGGAGTACATAGGAGCAAAATCCCAGTCTCTCCATACCAAAATTAAAGAGTACACATAAGATATAGAAAATACACACAACACTGCCTCTCTGGCTATATATGCTATGGAACCTGATGTATATGTTTGCCTGAATGAGGCTAAAATCATCACACACATTATAGGTCCTCTTTAGAACATGCAGAAAAGTCAAAATATATAAATTCACTAATCTGTCTATGGAAAGAATGAACTTGAAAGCAATGTTACATGTGATGTCATTTCAGTTAAACTGATCGGCACATTCCCTAATGATGTCACAGCACTTTTCACTTAATGTGTCAGGCAATGTGTGAATTTAATTTTATTTTCTCTCACTAGATGGTAGCATGACTCTGTTAATTATAATTTTTTATAGCTTGCATTAACTGTAAAGAATTATGCATTTAACAACTACTATATGTTCTATTTTTATTTATTGGGCTGCAATTTAAAAAAAATTGTAGACCTATAAATTTCCATTGTCATCTGTCTGTCTTTCCTTATTCTTGAGAACAGAGTTAGGTAGATGAAAGAAGAGACCAGATATGGAAAGGGGCAGGAAATCCCGATTAACTATATACAAACTTCTGATGCAAACTAGAAGTCACATTATTTCAATTCAAAAATTTTCCCCATAAAGGTGTTAGATAATGATCAACACAACTCTATTGTTAAAGGAAAAGTATGATGTACAGGGGCAAGCCACTACTAATTTGAAGTGGAAAGCATATATTTTAAGTTAAATAAATTAAAAATTGCAGCCTGGCATTGTGACCACGCCACAATAAATAATTGCTTGTTAAATGTTTTATTACTAGTTTAGACTTGGCTGCTCTTTATCACCATTTTTTGGTCCTGAAAAGGACCTTTTAATTTTTATATCAATCTGATAGTGGAATAAGATCTTCCTCTTCACTTTCAGAAGAGTTGCCCAGTGTCATATTAATTACAAGTATTTCCACAATGCTATCCAATTGGCAAATGGATTCCCTATATTCTTCCATAATTTTTTCTACATGATGAATTGCTGCTATCCAGTTTTCTTTAGTTATGGATGCAAAAACATTGTCCACTACTTTTAATCTGCCAATTTAAATGTGGTGTTATGTTGAGTGATGTATGCTTTTAACTGAGCCCATTTGAATTCAATGGGATTAAATTTGCAATGATAGGAAGGCAAGTGAATAACTGTATGGGCTCTGGATGCTGCCTCTTCATCAATCTCATACCATACTCTGGAGTTCTTATGCATTTTAATTATTTCATAAAGCTCGGCTCTATGGTTCACCAGGAAATAAAATTCTATGCTGAATTAGCCAGTCATTTCTTGTTATTGACTATTGCTGGACAGAGGTCTCTCCAGTTGATGACTGTGATATGAAGCATTGTAACATTCCATAAAAATGTATGATTTTTCTGGAATGTTGAGAATAAGTTGATTCTTAAACAATTTCAGAAACAAATCTGCATCAGTTTCTTTGTGGTAGTCTGGGGCATTGTCTTTGGAAACAAAAACAAACTGGATGTTGGAAATAAAACCATTTTCATTTCTAGCATGAAGAATCATCAATTATCTACTTTTTCCAATCAAGACTTTCAAATTAGGCACACTGTCTTGCCAGCATTTTGATACAATGTGATTCTCATTCACCCTTGTCTCATCTAAATATACACTGGACCAGCTTTCATTCACAGTTTGAACTGTTCACAAAAAATTATTATTATTACACACTACTATGTCATTTCTTTCATAAGTGACTTATTCTGGTTAATTTTACAAAAAAATCCAAGCTTATTCACAATCTTCCTTAAAGATTCAACACATTTAATGAATGTATTGAATCTTTAAACCTTATCATTAAAACCTATCTTTTATTTTCAATCAATGTGTAGGCAACATAAGGTTGGAATTTCACCTGCACAGCACAGACTATGAATATATTGATGAATTACAGATAAATCAAATTCGTCCACAGAATTGCCTAGAGTATTTGACCTTGGCCTCTCTTTTCCAGGTGTACAAAAAGGTTTTCCTTCCTTAAGAATAGCAATTACTGTCAAAAAACTGATTTTGGTAGCCATGGCTGTCTGCTGTCTTACCTGATTTACTAGCAATAATGGCTCTCTTTTCTCTCTAATAAAATATTGTTGCACATTATAAATCACCTCCCAAGTCTTCTTAGTAAACTTTGACTTCTTAGCAAACTTTGTATTCTGATACCAGAACATAATGCTACATAATTATTCCAAGAGCCAAACACAGGAGCACATTTCAAAATCTTTTTGTAAAAATTTGAACTGTTTGTTCAAATTTTCTTAATCATTTTCATTTGAACAGATTTCCAATCTGTTTGAACAAGGTTATGATGTGCAGTATCTAGAGTTCTGAAATTACAATTGATGAAAAAGCATCAATCATGATTGGACTGTCACAAAAACTGAAAAACAAACAAGAAACTGACAGCCTACAAGCAGACCTTCAACCAGAAAACTTTCTACCAAAGTTTTAAGTGGTAAGTTAAGGCTTTATGCAAACACACCATCATTTATCCAAATTCCTCCTAAGAAGCTAAAAAGCCAGCTCTTAAGAAAATACTTGGAACATTACAAAAAACAATGCCAGATGAGAGTACTTTTCTTAAAGTATGCTCCAATCCACAATTTAACAATTAAAAAAAAATAAGAGAAATAAATGGTGATTCATCAAAGCAATTTACTGGACAAAACAACAGATAATCTAAATTGATTTGAACTTGTCCATTAGTCTCCTCCTAATGAAAAAAACAGCCATTGTTGTTCAGTGTTTTTCCTTAATAAAATGAAATCTACTACAACACAATCACTAATACTGTTATGAGATAACAAAAGAGAATTTTTATTTACTAGTTATTTTTGTTTCAGTTATTTTCAGTTTTAGGATTATGTTAAACCTCACCTAGTTGGGAAGTGATAGAGTAGTACAACTTCGTTTGATTAATTTCATACAAACATTTACATAATGAATGAAATTTGCATCCCACTAAATTAGGATTTAAATATGATTACAGTAGATTATTAATTAATATTTTATTTTTGTAATTGCATAGTAGAATCACAATTTAAGACTATTACTTTTTTGTATGTGTATTCAATATACAAATTAACATTGTATAAGAGACTACTGTCAAATTAATACAGCAAGCATGTCTTCACTTCTATCTTGTATTAAATGTAATGACCAATTCCAAATTAAAATTAATTTTCAATTTTTTATTGTTTCCTACAAATCAAATTCACATTCCAAGTTGGTTCATTCTATACTAGAAGAAATGATGATGATGATCCACACTCCTTAACAATGTATGATATATTGTATAATTTTCTTTGAATAAACATTATATATAAAATATTTGAGTATTTTTTTTGGCATGAAACACATTATTGCATTTTACATTAATTTATATGGAAAAAAGTTTTGCTTGTTATAACCGAACTCGTTACATCCGTGTTTGTTATAACAGAGTTTAACTGTAATTCAGTGAGTGAGAGAGTGTGAGTGTGTGTATTGAATTATATTTTATATATATACACACACACTAAACAACAAAATGTTTCTTAAAACATGTTTTCATATTTTGTATTTTAATAAAAGATTTTTAATTAAATAAACTTTTGTGGGGTGTTTTTAAGGCAAGTGTTACAAGAAATTTTTTCTTCCGTGATAAAAGATGCTTCTTCTGAGAACACAAGGACCCCCCCACAAACATATTTGCAGACCCCTATTAGTATGATCTAAAGATATATTTCCAAACTATTAATATGATCTTATTAATAGTTTGGAAAACATTGCATTAACTAAATTAACTCAGATCTGTACCTGAGTTAATTTACAATTACACAATGTTTGGTGCTTCTTTGGGTAAACATTTACTAACAAAAAATGGAATGTGAAAAAAACTATTTTATCAGCAAATTTGATTAGCACTGTTTTGCAGAACATGAATAGCTAAATCCTATGAAATCCTATGAAAAAAGCATCAAATGTTAAAACAAGATGGAAGTTGAGATAGCATTAAAAAAAGCTTATCTTGTCAATTTATTATTGAAAATATATTCATCATTGTTTGGAATAGTGAATCTTTTGCAAGCAGGAAAAAAAAACATGTTAAAATGTGATTGCAATTCACAAACCACAAAAATTTAGCAAAAAGAATGTCAATGCTGAATCATTCATACTTCTTTCCACTTTTCCTCGAATTTGCTCTCTGATTAAACTAAATTTTAAATAACTTAAGCTTTCTATTTAATTTCTTTAAGTTTATTTTGATATTTGTTTTTGTTATTTTATTATTATTAATATTAAGTTATATATAGAACACAAACAAAGAAGCAATGTAATAAAAATATTTTGTACCAACTTTACCATATAAGAAGCACACTTTTTGGGCAAGAGATGGAGTGTAATGATTAGGCTATCCAGCAGGATAAAGAAATTTGCTCATTCATCCATTTACTATTTAGAAAATGTTAGAAGTCAACAGTAAAATAGTGTAACTTGAAACTCATTCATATATAATTTAAATTATTATTAAATGTTACTTAATATATTAAGTGAATATCCATACAAATCTTTAGTTTAGATTTTGTATGAAAATGCCAAAATAATGCTATTGTGCATAAACAAAAAAACATTGCTAGTCAAGCTATGACCATTGATTTAAATATTTATAATTACTTTAATCATTAAAATTCACTTCTAAGAATAAATTTACAATTTATTAAAATGACAATTATTGTATCACATGCTTTAACCATCACAGTTCTCTGAAATGAGGTCATTATATAGATTGAGGATAATTATGCAAATTTATCAGCTTTCAAGATACAAAGTCAAATAGAAGAGAATGATGATATTAATTATATCATGGATTGAATATACAGAAAATAAATAGAGGAAAACTAAAGACAAGATACAGTATGTATATTGTGAGAATCAGGATTTAGGGGGGGAGTCATTTTTAAAGAAATTAGTGAATAAAGAAAAATTTTTTTAGTCTAAAATAAAAACAATTTTATTTCAGAGAGAAGTTAAACAAAAAAGGATGTAGCTTCCATCATTTTAAAAAAGAAGGGAGTAAACTTCCTTTCCTACGGCCGACTTGGAAGTTGAGTCAGAAGCAGCCGCACACGAGACTTGGCTGTCTGTTAGGCCATTGACTTGTATAAAAAGGGCTTTTTCCCACCCTTCCTGGCAGTTCAACAAGGTATGAACATGCCATAGGAGGCAATTCATTGAAAGAAGTACTTGCCATATAACGTACAATGAAGGCCGTTCCAAGATAAGAGGACGCCACATAGATGTCGACCACATTGTAATAGCGCATCCATAGTCGTTACGATTCCTAAACGTCTCCCTGATCCTGAACAAGAAGACAGCGTTCAAATACAAGATACTTATGGAAACTATGAAGGTAGTATAATCTGTTAGATTGATGTGAACTCTCTCTCCACGCATAAGTGTTAGATTTCACGTGATTAGGTTAAATTTAGAGTTAAGTCGAATAATTTGATCTCCCTACGGGAATGTAATATTTGTAACTCCATTTAATGTATTTTGATTCAATTGTGTATTTTACTTTATATTCATTCTTTAGTTTTTATATCAATAAATTTAATATATCTAAACAATCTTATTCATTATGCACTCCAACTCACTCAATGGTTGACTCCTTAGCTTTTCTCAGACGTTGTCACTCGAATGTCACAGATATTTCTAATTAAAGGTAAACGCCAGTTGGGGCACATATTTTAAACCACCCTAACTGGTGTTGGGAATCCCGACAGGAGACCAGATTATACAATCGTACATCTCCACCTTTCTTAAATACTTTTAAATCCCTCCTTAAAATTTAGAGATCAGATCGTAAGATCTTGCACAGAGTAAGTGGTCATTGGGATTGTTATGACCCCCTGCTTATCTCACAATATACATGTCTTCAGTGATCTGAGAAAAATCAATGTAGCAGAGGACTATGAATGTGACTATATTGCACAATAATTTTTTTACATTTTCTACAGACACTCAATGACTTTAGATGAAAGAAAGGCTATTTGATGAGTTTGTAATTACAGTTTAAAATAGGCTATAAATGGCTATAACATTCATCTCTTTCAGGTGTTTTTCACACGAACACAACACCTGGATAATCCTTATGAAAATAGGGCAATTAGCTTTTTAAAATTAATTTTAAATGTTTATCATTATGTTTATTTTAAAAAGAATTTTTATTGTTAACTTCATTTTAATTTAAATATTTATATTTTGCAATGTACATTTGTTGATTTATATTGTTGTTTTATTTGTAATAAGATCTTAAAAATCTTAATATAAATGTTCCACTTTTTGAATGCTTATGTACTGTACATACATAAGCCGATGTCCCTAAGATAGTAAACAAGGAACATTGTTAGCTTAATAAACTTTTGCTTCCAAAAACCAATTTTTATTTCTATCAATTGATAATATGGAGACTGGATTATTAAATATCGTAAATTCAGTAAATCTTGAAATTTTATATATATATTACTTACATTAATATAAAATGGATTTCTACATTATGCACTTTAAAACTGAAGCAAATAAATCAAAATAGCAATGTAATCTTTAGTTTTGATTTCATTACCAAAGTGGCAGAAAGTAATGCTGTTGTAAACCATTACAT